TTATTCAGGTCTATTTAGATATTAATGCCGGGACTCAGATTCAAACCTCGAACTAGGTTTTTGAGGTGTTGGAAGTAGTTTGTCATGAACTGGTCACGTTTCCATTCACACTTTTGTACAAAATTTTACTGAATTTCCAGGAAGTGGTTAAAAAAAAGTGGCTTAATGTTTCTATTTGCTGCCGTTGTGTGAATATCAGGAGCATCACAAACAACAAACTCACATTATTTCCAACACGGCACCAAGCTGTTAAAGGGAAATAGTGAAACACGTGAGACCCATCTGTTTTCAACACACAGCTCCAAGGGCTAAGAACTGCCATCACTTTGTACACTATCTGAAGAAAGGAGGAATCCCTCATCTCTGTTGTGGTCCTGCTGCTCTGCCAGCTCCTCGCTGCACATAACAACCTGTTGGAGCTGTTTGTTGGAAACAGATAGCTTCCTGTGTTTCCTGAGGAGGAAACCAGCCCCCCAGTGCAGCGGTGTGGCCCACTGAGGGGGAGGGGGTTTAATAGTTGGTGGGGAACAGTGGAGATCTACGGCACAGAGCGATAAGCTGGACCAGGGTCTGGACTCATTATGGCCACATTCACTGGGGCTAACTCACTATTTTCTGCCGTGTACTCAATGACAGTATGGCGAGAAGGAAGTCGGTGTGTTGCGGTGGTTCTGCTCTGGAAGTCACACTGAGCGTCCTGTTCATCCTCATGACGGCTGTGTGTGTGACGCTGATCGCACTGATGGCTACCTGGAAAACGCACGCAGGTGAGGACACATAGTAACAGTAGATAAACACACTGACAACCACAACCGGAAACATAAAACAGAGACTTGCAGGTTTTGTTAAATAAAAACTCAAAATATTCATTAAAGCAGCAAATGTTGATTTATCTGAGGCTTAAAATTGTTCCTCAAAATACTGGGAAATGATTGTTTTCAAAATGAAACTATATATTTGTAAAATGTTTTAATTAGGTCATCTTTGGCTACCATCTATTGCTTTGCATTACACATGAGATTAATTGAAAATAAGAAACTATAGAATAACAAAGAACAAATTTACACCTTAAAATTGACTCCCAGCTTAATTTCAGTAATTATTTAAAGTAGCAATAACGAGACAACCTATAAAAATGTGCTGGCCCAACCACTCCCAGCTTCTCTCCTGGCCTTGACCCCAGTATATTTATTTGCCTTCTAGTTAGTTTACAAATGAAATTATATATTTGTGTTTTAAAGGTTTAAAAAAATCAGCAGGAGCCAGCAGGCTTGGAGCTGAGAGCCACAAACAGGAATTCAGAAAGTGTTGAGATCCACGAGCAGTGTAACAATGTTTACTTGGTTTTGTTCACATAGGTTTGAAAAGAAATTTTAAAAGGACAAATGCAAATTCAGGAATTCAGAAAGTGTTGAGATGCACAAACACTGTTGGACTGAGACTGTTCCTGTAGCAAAGACATCAAATGAACCCATCCTTATTCTTATGTACACTTTTAGGAAAGTATCAGATTATTTTGAACCTGTAAGTTGCTTAAAACAGCAGCTAAATACTGCTCCAGATTTAACTGTTAGCTGTTTCTGCCTTCCTGTCAGATCCAGAGCCAATCACTTCTCCCAGTCCGCACAAACCTTACCTGATCGGAGTGGGCCGAGCTGACATCACTGGGCCGCCAGCCGATATCCCTCTGGTCAGTACAGAAACACACAGCAGACACAGGTGCTACCTTCAAAGCTTTCTGCATGCTGCTAAGCCAGGCACAATGAGATGACGAGAACCCCTAGGTGGCCACGTACAGACAATAATGAGCTCCCGGTGTCCACAGAATCAGTACAGGTATAAAGAAGTGTCATCTGAACCTCTCGACTGTTCACCTATGTGCAGTCTGGAGAAGTATGATCTCCCCTTCAGCCAAGAGTAGACCCGAAGCACTGCCTCAGGTCATAGTTTATGAGCAGAAATGAGTGAAATGCTGTCCAGTACATGACTGGTGTCAGCAGCAACAGGTAGATCTTTTCTGTTAAAATTATTCTTGAATGATAATATATAAAAAAAGTGTTGTTGGACTTGGAACTGAATGAGCCCCCACAGCACTAGGCACTGTAATCCAGTCCTGAGTGCAGACACTCTTCCAGAAGTGGACCTACCTGGACCTGGTTCTCAGCACTGAATCAGACAAGCGCTGCACCTCCAGAACCTGACCTGAACCTATCCCTTAAAATATTTAATACCTGTTAGTGAATACTGTATATTTCTGAAGAGAGGTGCTGCTGAGCAATGAGTTTGGTTTCTCATATTTTCCCAGCCTAGACCTAAAAGGCACCTTACTGAGAACTTTAAGAAAAAACACGTCCTGCAGGGAATCAAACTCCAAAGTCTGCCAGTGAAGGTTGGGTGGTTCCTGGCTGACTGAGTGTGTTTGGACTGATAATCTTTGTTTTCTCTGCTGATATCAAGCTGTCACATTCTCAGTATGCAGTCAGAGAACCATAAACCATCAGGTCAATCCGTGCTGAGGGAGGAACACAATCTGCCCAACAGTATTCACCTTTGTTTCTAACAACAGCTAGCACACAGATGCTAACAGACACAGAGGCTTGTTCCAAGCTTGGATATCTGAGTCAAGTTAATATAATTTTTGATTTGAATCTGTTGTGAATCTGGATTACCTCCTTCTTCTGTGAAAATGACAAAGTCAGTTATTAGAGCAGCTGGAGCAGCAGCAGTGGTCACGGTACACGATGCACCTCATTACAGCAAATCTGCATCAAACAGTGCACTCCTCCGAGTCCTTCGTCAATGAGATGTGTGCACAGACATGAATCCCATGTCGATCTGACTCAGTGTGACATCCACATCTGAGGATCCCATCATCTCTGATGTCCCTCCAGACCAAACCTCCATAAACCAACAAAGAAACCAGGGGAGCAGAGGCTGCAGAGCCTGCCTGAAAATCCTCCTGTTTCTAAGTTTCCCTCAGTGTCACAGTGATCCACTGACAGTTGTGTGGACGTCCATTGGGACATTGCACACAGGAGCTGCTCGCTGCTCATTCTGCTACTGTTAATGGGGACACTGTGACTCCACGTGGACTGATACAGGATATAAACACAGGCTCAGGTCCACAGTTAATTTAGTGACTCCACTGCAACTTTATGCTTATTTGACTGACATGACTTTATCTTCGTAAATGATAACACCAGGTTGTGTATCTCTGTGTGCATTTAGATGGGCTATGCAAACCCTCAGCAGATGGCTGCAGGCATACACACTCGCCTGTACAGCCGAGCCTTCATCATTGATGACGGCAGACGGAGAGTCCTGTTTGTCACTGCTGACATAGGAATGATTTCACAGAGGCTGCGACTGGAGGTGGACACACACACACACACACACACACACAGAGTTCATATTTATACTTGTACAATAATTAGATCCTTTATATACTGTATAGTAAAAGTACTTTACCACAATGCAAAGTAATCCAAAGGCCTGTATTCAAATTTTACAGCAAAAGTACTTAGGTATCAGTAGTAAAATTCTCTTTCAGGCTGTTGTCTTAATTTCTATTTTGCAGTATATTATTATTATTGTAAATGACATAACATGTAAGAAGAATTTTAAGGTTATTGCCGACTAAGATTTCTGGAAGGTGTATGGTCTGTAGGTGCTGTATCTAGGTAGGAGTATATACGTAACTGTATGTAATTATTTATTTGACTCATTTTAGATATTCTTTCTATACTTATTGCATTTATACTTTGAAGATGGAAACAATAAAAGGTGTGAACTGTTGGCATTACTTCCATCTTAACTTGTTTCTGTAAGAGACAAAGTCATCCAGGCTATGGCAGCAGAGTGTCAATCAACCACTAGTCTGCTGAGTCTGCTGTGTGTGTGCAGGTACTGCAGGCGCTGCAGACGAAGTATGGGGATCTGTACCGGCAGGATAACGTGGTTCTGAGTGGGACTCACACCCATTGTGCACCGGGCGGGTATTTCCAGTACACCTTGCTCATGATCCCCAGTAAAGGTTACATCAAGGCGTCCATTGAGCCGCTGGTCAACGGCATCGTCAAGGTGTGTGCGTGATTTGTTGATCGGTTTGAGGAGCCTGCGGCCTGCCTGGTGTTATTCAACTTTACATCATGAACCATGCATTTGGGGGGACTGAAAATATAATGCTTCTATTTAATGGGGTTAAGAAAGTGTAATCTAACATGCATCCACTGTCACTGGATCTGTTTTAGTTTCATGGAATTAAATTTGGGCTCCGATACCAAATAAAAGTTCATGCCCTGTCAGGTGTTGGTCTCAGCCCTGTGTGTCATGACTGGCCAGGCAGATGTGACCTCATATTACAACAGCGGCAGAAAACCAAAACAACAGTAGGCACTGTGTTACTCTGTGAGGAGGAGGAGGAGAACAACAAGATGAAGGACAGCGAAGAATCTCACTGGACAATCCAACATGTCCAGGCTTCGTTAGTGCTACTGTAGTCACATGTTGGAGACCAGATAGACTCAAGCGCGTGGTTGTTTCAGTTGTGCTGGAGAACCTGAACATTATATCATTATACGTATGTGTGTATAGATATGGACTGAATTAGTAATCAGTTATCTCTTGACATGTCTGATCCTTACTTTACATTCTATAAGAAACTCCTTTAAACACATCTGCATGTAATGTAATCATGTAATACAGAGGGGACATGTTTTAATGATTTCAATCTTGTTTACAGAGTATAGACCTAGCCCACCGTAACATGAGGCCAGGCAGGATTTACAGGAACAGAGGAGAGCTGGACAACAGCAGCCGCAACCGAAGTCCCCACTCCTACCTGAACAATCCTGAGAGCGAGCGACACAGGTACACTATGGCAGAGAGAATTATTAATGATAATATATGAATGTAGATCTATTTTTCAAATGGAAAATATGAATAAACATTTTCACTTTTTCAACTATGACAAATTCGCATTAAATACAGTCTATTTTATAAATATAGTCATTACTTGTACTTGAGGGAGACAAAGGTTATTTCTGTACATTCCTCTAAAACATTATTGATCAGTAGCATCAATCTCTTCAGGTATAAGTGGAACACGGATAAACAGGTGTTGGTGCTGAAGTTCACTGATCTGGATGGAGATGGCATCGGTATGCTCAGGTAAAACTTTCCTGTAGAAACTTTTATTTTACATCAGGAAAAATCTGATCAAGAACAAAAAAATCTGTCTGCAGGATTTGTACAAATACATTTTATTTTTAGTATCAGTACTGGGCAGTAAAACTGTCTCTGTCCCTTTGGACAGCTGGTTTGCCGTCCATGCTGTCAGCATGAACTACACCAACAGGATGGTGAGCAGCGACAACATGGGCTACGCCTCTTACCTGCTGGAGCAGGACAAGAACCCCGGCGAGCTACCTGGACAGGTGACAGGACCCTGTGTGTCATACTGAGGTCAATCTCTACAGGTGCCCCCACCCACATGGGCTTCCACCACATGCAGGTGGAGCCCTGGGGGCCTGGGGCCTAAATGTCAATAAAACAAGAAACACTGCAGTGAGAGAGAACAATTAGGGCTTAAGAACTAACATATGAAAACTGAATGTTCTGCAGGTGCACCAACTCAGGTCAGTCATGCTGTTGCTACAGCAGAACCTGTAAGAACAGGGCAATATACCAGCGGATGAACCCGGCCAGAACCTCACTCTAAATTTGCATTTTGGTTCAAAGTCAGTGAAACAAGATGGAGATTACAGCCTGCTTCAGACCTGTACCAAGACTATTGTGGAGCAGCTAGACTGTGACTTTGGAAAGACCACTGTAGTCAACACGTGTGTAAAAGGCCAGGCCTGACGACAGGGGATCTGAAATCTGTCCACTATATAGTGCTGTGTTCATGTGTGCTATTTCCTGTGTGTGTTTTGTCTCAGGGAGGTTTTGTCGCTGGTTTCTCCTCCAGTAACCTTGGCGACGTGAGCCCAAACACCAGAGGACCTCACTGTGTGAACACTGGTCTGCCCTGCAACTATCTGAACAGCTCCTGTCCTGTAGGAGGGGTAAACACACACTGACAAACACACACAGGCACACATTCATAGTCATCAGCAGACAGTAAACAGGAAGTGTGTGTGTGTCAGCTTAAGGCGTGTCTGGCCTCCGGACCTGGAGACGACATGTTCGAAAGCACAAGGATCATTGGACACAGCATCTACAGGAAGGCCAAGGTACCTGTGAAACACAGTGGAGCACAGTAAAAAAACAGCCCAGTGCAGTACAGACGGGCAGTAGGTATAACTGTGTGTGCATGTGCTACTGGCCCCCTGCAGGAGCTGTATACAAATGCAGTTGAGGAGGTGACGGGGTTCCTTCACTCTGCTCATCAATGGGTCAACATGACAGATGTCACCATTCAGATCAACGACACACACATGGTCAGCAGCAGACACACACAGGGCTGATGGGAAGTGATGTTCGCTAACAGAAGTGCAAACAGATATGATTTTTTTCTGAAGTACCTTTCCTATGTAAACATAAATAAAGGCACCTGACAAAGTGTTGGGAAAAATGCTCCACCCTCTGAAAAATTGTTTTCACACAAGAAGCAGCTACAGTCACATAATCCCGTTGTTTACTAGCTCCATGTTTGTTTGTTGGTTTGTTTCCTCCACACATCGGTGTTTAATGTTTTTACTGTGTGTACGTTAGGTGAGCACATGTAAACCAGCTCTGGGTCACAGCTTTGCAGCAGGAACAACAGATGGAGGAGGAGACCTCAACTTCACTCAGGGTGATTCTACGTCACTATACTGACGTCGATCATCTCTGCTGTTGATTCAGTTCAGATAAAACTGTCTTTCTGTGTCAAGGTGCTGTGGAAGGCGACCCATTCTGGGACGGGATCAGGGACGCCATCCTGGGGCCTCCATCCAATCAGACGCAGAAATGTCATCATCCCAAACCCATCCTGTTCAGCACGGGGGAGGTGAAGGGGCGGCACCATGCTGGCTAAAAACATCTTTTGAACAACAGAAACATATGAATATTCAGCGGTGCTATTGTTGTTTATTTATAGGTTTGTGTGTGTGTGTGTGTGTGTGTGTGTGTGTGTGTGAACGCAGATGAATTTTCCTCTGCCCTGGCACCCTCAGATCGTCGATGTTCAGATCATCACCATCGGACCTGTGGCTGTAGTAGCTGTTCCTGGAGAGATGACGTAAGAGTTTTACTAGTATTACTAATGATAATAATGCTAACAATGACAACACTGCTGATATTGCTATGGTTAGTACCACTTCTAATACTACTGTTAATGGTGTTGAGAGTACTGTTGACAATACTGTTGTTAATACAGCTGATAATGCTATAGAGTTAATACTAATAGTATGGCAGTTAATAATAATGCTAATACATCTGGGACATTATTGACAATACTTCTGAGGATACTGTTGACCACTGCTCGATCCCGACCTTGTTGCCCTGTGTATACTGTACTGCCTGTGTGTGTTTGAGCAGCACCATGTCAGGGAGGAGGTTACGAGACGCTGTCAAACAGGTGAGAAACAACATGAACACAAAGCCCAGCACACCTAAACACCTGCGGTGTCGCGTAACGTTACTGTATTTATGTGTGTGTGTTAGGAGCTGGAGTCTGAAGGGACATTCAGGGACACTGAGGTGGTGATCGCTGGCCTGAGTAACGTGTACACTCACTACATCACCACCTATGAGGAGTATCAGGTACACAGCAGCTAAGGCACATGGGTATTGTAGTATTTAGATCCATCTACTACAATGAAAACACAAGTGTACATAAGCTTATTTTATCCTGAAATTCTTGAGGAGAGTGACTTTTTACAGAAAGCAGCTGTAAACAGATTCTTTAATTACACAGGTCCACTGCCTTTGCTTTTCAGGTGCAGCGATACGAAGGAGCCTCCACCATATACGGGCCGCACACGCTCAGTGCCTACCTGCACAAGTACCGAGGTTTGGCCAGAGCCATTGCACAGGTGAGACTGGGTGGATTACACCTTTAATCCTATCTGTCATGTCAGTAAACTTAAGTAATTTGCTTAATATGAAACAATAACCAGCGAAAACAGAAAGGATCCTATTCTGCTGGTGACAGACAACTCACCATGCGGCAGATGTTCAACTAGTAACCTCTCCTAGTTTAATGAGGAGCTGGAAGTGAAACTATGAAAAACATATAATTAATGTTAATAATATTTGTACATGTTGTAAATTACCACACAAAAACATTGCACTTAAACATGTAAAAACACACGCATATGTACAATTTCTCCACAGCTTGGAAGTTAATTGGAAAAGCCCATTAGCCAACATCAAGAAGGTTTTAGCCAGCATTACTAAATGAAATAAAATGTGAAGTTATGAGCTAAATTTAAAAAATAATACAGTTTAGGTAGATGCCTAAACAAAGTACGGTACCATCAGCAGGTGGTCAAGAAAGAAGAAGAAAACACTAGACTGCTGCAATATGCATCAGATTAACTCAAATAAATCTGAAAAGAGAAATACGGTAAACCTGTTTTTAAGATTTCGTTATATCCATCACAAATAAACACCAGTAAATCCACAGGTGCACTACAAACAGGAGTTGATCACAGCGAATCCAAATACTGTTAATGGGGACATTTGGATGGAAACAGTGAAATGGGGCGTGTTGCAACTCACTTTGTTTATATCCACCAGAGGAAACTGAGTGTGCCCAAATAAAAGTAAGGTCAGGAATGATAAGACTGGCGAAACCCATTAATACATACTTTGTTGTGCACTGCTAATATGGTTGTTGAGAGTATTAAAGCTCAGAATCTCTCATTATCATGATTAATTTGTAACTGCAACACTTCCAGTGATGGTACTGTTTCACTGTTTTTGTGTTTTCAGGACCGAGTGTCAGAGCTGCCGGTCGGCCCTCAGCCTCCCTTCTTTAACAAGAATCTCTTCACTCTGATGCTTCCAGCTCCTGCTGACAGGAAACCAGAGAACACCAGCTTTGGTGATGTGCTGCAGCAGGTTTTCCCTGTCTATAGACAGGTAGGATATTCACACTCTGGAAACCCAAAGTTCTTCTATGCACGCATGTCATACTTCAAGATCCGTCCCTATGCTGATGATGCCCCACTGTTATGTGGACACATATAAAGTATTTTAATTTGTTTTCCAGGGTGATGTTGTCTCCATCACGTTCATAGCGGGAAACCCCAGACATTCTGGTGACATTGTAAGACCCAAAAACTGATTCTTTGCATTTTTTGTTTTGAATGATCTATTTTTACTTTAGTTCATCTCTAACCTCCTCACTGTGGCCATCCATTGCAGAGAGATAAAACTTTTCTTACTGTGGAAATTTATGACAACAGAACAGGAACCTGGGAGGTTGTCCACACTGATGCATCGTGGGATACCAGGTAGGCTAGTGTGTACCTCAGAACGTTCCCAGATGGTGTACACACATTTAGGAGGCCATGATACAAATTCAGATACAAAATCAACAAACTGCGTGCATGTGTGTGATGGGCCTTCAGGCTAGAACCAGATAAACTCAGAAACAACCCTGCTAGGACCCATCTTTATCTCCAGCCTTTTTTAATGATGTCTCTTGCTCCAGGTTTCACTGGCTGAAAGGTTCAAACCGGCAGAGTAATGCCACAATCGAGTGGCACATTCCCCCGTCAGCCCACAGCGGCTTCTACAGGATCAGACACTTCGGGCACTACAAACAGATGATGGGCCTACGACCCGACATTAAACCATACCAAGGGACATCTGATGTTTTCAGAGTCGCTGCCAGCTTTTACTATCAGTGACTTCACAGATCATGGTCCCCAAGGAACAGAAGTCCAAAAGTTATTGATCTCTCCAGGGTTTTGTGCCTCTGTGGGGAAGATGGGGCACACATCTGTACAATTTTATTCATAAATTAATGCCAGATAAACAACTACAAATATCTCTGTATAGTGGCTTTGTTTAGGAGATGCCAACAGCCACAGGGTCTCTGATTCTAACATAATAAAAATGACAACATTGTGTAAATAGCAAAAATATTTATTTTATACTTCTATATATAGAAATTTGTCGAGCAAACCAGAATAACACAACACAGGGATATTTTTTAATTCAGTTCATGTTTAACTGTCAAGCACAAACACGTTTAAAACACTGACGTGCACTGAGACGCAGCATTCAGCAGCTCACAGCGGGAAACCGTCAGACTGAGCCTCAGAGGTACCCACAGGTTTAGTCTTATGGGACACGACGACACAAACGCCAGGAAGACATGAAACGTTTCGCCTCTCTCACATGACCACCTGCTTTGGGTGACACTTCCTAAAAACCAGCTGTTCTGCCTTTCATATTGTGATGAAACTACCGTTACTGGCTGGAGTGTGCATTCACGTAACACTGAGTGACGACCTAGACGAGTCTCCAACACATGCTCTGAATCAGGAGGTGGCAGTTTTGTAACTGGTGAACTGCTGCACATCACATTAGGAGCCATCTTTTACTTTAAAGATATGTTGCATCAGCTCTTTTTTTCTGACACGATAGTACAGACGCACACAGGTGATTTGGTTTTGTTAGCCTACTATTTTCATCTGATATTTAAGACTTTACAAAAACTGAGACCACATCCATTTTCATCTGCTGGAGACTTTTCTGTTTGGTGGTTGAGCCCTGCAGCCTGAAGCCCTGTACTACAACTGACAGTCAGTAGAGACACAGTAGAGTGCAGCTCACTGAGGTGTTTTTCTTGGACCATATTAATACTAATTTGTCCAGATCAGATGTGCAGTCTGTGAAGCTCAGAGTAAGTACAGGCCACACTGCATACTAATATTTGATAAAACCTGAGCCCCTTTCTCAACATAAAGTGCTCTAAGTACAGATGCAACTCTCTACATTATTTCATGTTGAACATCTTGGCGCACCCTACACTAATAATCTGAACATTGCATCTTTGTCCCAAATGTTTCCATATATACACACATTTTAGTGGAGGAGTGAACAAAACACTGAACCTCATCAGCTGTTCCACAGGTGAACTGAGACCTCTGTGGTTTTTTTCAATTCTGAGGGCAGAGCACGAGGGTTACGCATGCTGAGGCTACAGGCGTGTTCTCGAGCCTTCGATCATACCACAGTGCTTTCTTCAGCAGAGCTTGCTCAGGCAACAAGAGAACCAGAGCTACAAAGGGTTTCACAGTAACTATAAGACAAAAAAGCCAGTTAAATAATCAAATTCAATAAACACAAGCTAAACGTGTTCAAGTATGAGAACAAAACAGGGAACAAACTCAGCTGTGCAGCTGTACAGCTATCTTTACGACGTGAACATGGAGGTCGTGACGCATGAATTCTTCTATCGCCTCTAGCTTCATGGGATCTGAGCAAACATGTAATGTTGTCGAAAGCTCCAGAACAAGCCAGTTATTGGACCGAGGATGTAATTTCACCTACATGTTTAGTTTGTTGCCTCTGGTCAATGAACACTGCTGATGCATCAACAGCCTTGAGAAACCCAACTGCACGTCTTAGTCTCAAGGTTAAATTTACTTTGGAAAGAAGGTTCAGTGTCTCGTTCCTTCAACCTGTGACTGAGAGCAACATAAAACCTGTGGCCACCCTTTGACAGGAAGTCACAACGCAGCTCTCCACTTCATCCTCCACAACCACACTGACAGGTTAAAGTGCTTTCAGGTTGACACGCATAAATACTTAGTCAAGTATGAAACACATTTGGTCCGACATCCCAGACCGGGCAGGAACACAGGTTTACAGTACCTCTGGAGTTTTACAGCTTTCCCTCCAGTCTGTTGTACAACATGGTGCAGACTTGAAGATGCAGGTGGACAAACACCGGGGGATGCTGGTGTACACTGGCAGATCACACAGTACAGAGCAAAGTCTGGTGTCTGGTCAATTTTATAAAACTTCATGGGATTATTTAGTTTTTCACATATGTTGAGTGTAGAGAGGAAGGAGAGAGAAGACCGTCATTGTCAGAAAGAAGCTTCTGGGGTCTACTGACTGCGTTCTAACATGCGGAGGGACCATGTTACAGTGTAACACCTGGTACAACAGTATGCTGTAGCTGGACGATGAAAGCCTCTCACTTGGTTTTGGCGGTGTCCTGTTTGCTGAGGAGGACTTCCAGCAGCCGCAGTTTAGCTTTCAGCTGTTTGTATTCTTGGTATTCTTCTTTCATGGGAGTGCGATCCTCTTTCTGGCAGATTCTGTCACAAAACCCAGGTGGATGTGTCAGTGTAAGTTTGCTGTGACCACTAACACAACGATGTAACTTTATAAATCAATAAGAACCGTGTGGATTCATTCACCTTCCAGTCTGACGGTAAAACTCGTCCTCAAATGCCCTCAGAGCTTTACGCCTCATCTTCTTCTCTGCTCTCGTCTCCCGCAGACACTGGAGCAGCTGAGACCTGGTTCGGTTGGAGGACAGAGAGGACAGGTCATGGAGGGAATTAACAAGGTCAAGGTCAAAGTGTTTATTTGTCATATGCACAGTTAGGAAACGTGTACAATGAAATTCTTACTTTGCCGTCCACATGAATGGAGCACAATACAAGTGAAATATAAAGTAGATGAGCAATAACACAAATCTAAATAGGCAGTAAAATCACAAATCTAAGGCACTTTAAAGCAGCAAGTGAAGGAAGCAAATAAAAATACAAGAACACAATATAATGCAGAGAGAATATATGCTATGTGGGAGCCGTGGAGTGCAAATACTCAGCAGTGACACATGAATGCCACATAATACAAGTGAAATATAAAGTAGATGAGCAATAACACAAATCTAAATAGGCAGTAAAATCACAAATCTAAGGCACTTTAAAGCAGCAAGTGAAGGAAGCAAATAAAAATACAATAAGAACACAATATAATGCAGACAGAATATATGCTACATGGGAGCCATGGAGTGTAAATACTCAGCAGTGAGTGTGCAATTATGCATGTGCAAAATGAGTACGTATGTAAACAGTACAGATGGAATTACATGAGGTAGATCCTGAGTCAGCTGTTTAGGAGTCTGATGGCAGTCGGAAAGAAGGTTTTTCAGTCTAGAGGTCATGGACAGACTGTACAGAGTGACCCTGTTTTAACCTGGAATTGGTCATCAAACTCTAAAGAAAACTGAGATGCAAGGAGGCACCATGTGGGCAGGGTTACACCGTGAAGCAGCTGCACCAAGAGCAACTGAGTTCTCAGCTTCTTTAAATCAACACCAGTGCAAGAAAAAGCATTTCTCCACATCATTCCTTCATGTTTCATGATGTTCACTGCTGTGATAAGAAGGCACACTGAACATGGTCTGGTGACCATGTGTCCATATGGAGGTGCCAGATGTTTGGGAGAAAACACTGTAGAACTGCCATATTCTGTGACATCTTCATTGAACCTGCAGCCATTCTCCACAGCAGGAGAACAAATTCCAAGATAATTTACTTACTTACCAACCCTCGACTGTTTCTGACACTATGACAACATAAACTTTGTGTATTCATACAGTGTGTTTCAGAAGCCAGATACATTTAAATTTGTAGTCTGTCATTTTAGCTGTTTCGGCTCTAAATGAAGCTAAACCGCGTCTCGGGAGAGATGTGGTGTGAAGCGACCTCATGCAGACCTGGAGGCTTCATGCAGATTGGACACAGTCAGAGCAGATTGTTGACGGACAGATTTCACTTCGTCTAACGGTGACACAGAGGCTGGGTCACTGTCCCGGTCGCTCTCCTCCTCGCTGGCTGCTGGCTGGGTCTCTCTGTGAGGAGGTGGGGCAGGAAGCTCCTCAGCTGTCATCGAGCTCATCAAGTCTTCATCAGAACCATCCTCTTCCTCCTGAGAGACAGTCACACAACAACACAACCTGTTCTTATTCTCCCACTCTTTCTAGGAGTCAATAGTGTGGGCTGATTTTTATTTTTGATTTCATTTTCCTCGTTAAATCTCTTCAAAAATGTGAACTCTATGTGCAGTCATATAAAAACATGCTATGGCATTATGTCTTCCATAAGGTGTAAAGACACTGCCTCCATGTCGTGAGCTAACACCCCGATCTGCAACATTACATTTAGTTTGACTGACAGAATGATAATCACTTTTATTGCCCAACTACGTTACACACACAAGGAATTTGTGTCTGGTGCAGAGCCGACGCAGCCACCGAGGCAGACACCAGCTCACACACACATGCTGATGGCAGTGCTGCTCTGGCCATCGGGGGCGACTTGGAGTTCAGTGCCTTCACCAAGAACACTTCGACATGTGGATGGAAGAATAGGAATCGAACCGCGGACCTTCCAGTTAGGGGAAGTGGGAAACTTTCACACAGCTTCAGTCAGTTTCACTGCCCTTTGCTGCCAACAGTGGCATCTCTTCATTAGAATAATAAGTTACATGTTGTGACCAGCAGTGGGGTAAGAGGTACACAAAATCTCAAGTTCCAGTACAACACTAGAATACAGAAAAATGGAAGTTCTTCAGCACTGCATTTTTGGTGCTTCCTTTTAATCTTTTATTTCTGTGAAATGACACCCCTGGGTCTCCATGGTAGCACGTCTCACACTCTGGACACAAGCTCGGTGTTAATGTTAGCACACTGCCCATGTGATAATCTGGATCAAACAAAGAAAGTGTTGCTCACTATGGTGGTGATCGTCGGGCTGGCACACAGAAGCCGTTTGATCATCTGGTACCTGTCATACAGAGGCTTCACCAGGGTCTTCTCCTGGTTAGTTCCCTGAGACACAGACAAACAGGAACGATGAATGCAGCCAGTGTTAGGATGGCTCGAACACGGAAGTGAGAGAGTCACAAAAATTGACGGACCCAGGTGGCTGACTTCGATGCAAGCAGTGCAAGTTTATTTACAGTGTACAACAAGTGACCAAGAAATGAACAGACGAGTAACACTGGGACCGGGTGTCGCGCTTCGGATGGGAACACAGTCAGTGGTGGAGATGATGAGAAGAGGACCGGGCTGCGGACACTGGGACTCACTCCTGGACTGGTCGAGTTGGATGGTACTGAAGAGGAACAGAAATTGTACATACGGTAAGTAGTAGACTGTGCATCAACCTGCAGGGTGGTGATGAAGCAGAGCAGAGGAGGTCCGTGGTCCGAAGGAGTGACTGAGGCGAGGAGGGAATGAATAAAAAGCAGCTGGAGAGAAGGAGACAAAAAAAAACTAACACAGATCAGAGGAACAACGAGGAACAAACGAGCCTGAGAAATGCTAGAAAGAACTGGCAGGGGAGTGAACGAAGTGCAGGGGCTAAATAGGGAGAAACTAATCAGGTGCAGCTGGTGGTAATCCGGGGGTAAGAAGCAGGTGTAAGGGATAACGTAATCAGGGTAAGGGAGTGAAAACAGAGCGAGGGGAGTGAGAAAGTAGGTGCAGCCAGGCAAACCTGACCAGTGGCGGAACCCCCCCCAAAGGATGGATCCCAGACAGACAGCCAATCCACCACCACAGGGAGGGTGGCGGGGTGGCCCGGGA